GTCTAAGAAGACTTGAAACAACTGAAATCTTTGCGCTGATGGGGTGTGATGATTTGAAGTCTAAATATTTATTTGAGTGGGTTTTCTTCCTGAATATGGATATACTCAAATGTCCGTTTTCCCTTCTCTTAACTAGGCAGTCTAGAAATGGTAGTTCACCGACATCTGATTCTGCTTCCGAAGTAAACTGAATTCTGGGAGATACACAGTTTATTTTCTCCAGAAATGAAATGTGTAGATCTCGTTTTAGTACTACAAAAGTATCATCTACATATCTTAACCATATTTTAGGAGTGAGTATTCTTGAAAAGATGTTATTTTCGAATTTATTCATGAAAAGGTCGGCGACTATTGGGGAGACTGGTGAACCCATAATAATACTTTAATAAAGCTATTAGCAGCATTAAATAGCGAAACGTCAGTAAAAATAACAATATCGTTTTGTTTTTCATTCATTGGGAAATACAAAAACCTTTATTATAATGAATATCATATACCCAATGCCCAAATTTTTTCAAACCGTTAAAAGTGAACTTGGTTTGGACATATATAGCACAATATATCGATTAAAGTTATACCCAGTATAGGTTAATTAGGTGAATGATGACTAGCAGTTTAACCCAGGGTGCACATTTCGTCCCATCAGATGCTCATCTGCCGGCTGTACACATATTACCCAACAAGAGTGATAGTGTTCCCACTAAGACACAAACCCAGCAGCCATCGTTTCGAACGCCCAAGCACCATCCATTGGATCTCTGGGGCCATGACAGCCAGAGGAGGCCAGAGGCTTTTGAAACGAAAGGTACTGAGTTCAAGTCTTTGTGGGAACTACATCACTCACTGGGGAGCGGTGCAGGTTCAGCCAGACGAGGAGCCTCAAATAGGATGAAGTGAGCACCATGGATTCAATTGCAAGTCACACTTTCCACCAAATTAACTTTCAAGTTAATCCTCAGACATAAATAGTTAAAGCGTTCCTACTAATAGCCGACATTTCAACATGGGATGAACATTTCGGTCGAATTATTCGACAGGAAAAGCAAGATTAACTTAAATGAATGAAAACAAATTAAATATAACCAGCTGTTGAATTTGTACGGATCCACTTCATTTCAGACGGATTTAGTCAGGAACACCGAACTAAAATTCATAAGATTGATACCTGGTGAGGAGCCTCAAACAATTATTATTATTATTGGAGAATATGCTCTAAAGAGAACTTAGAGGAAGAATTTGAGTTTCTTGAAAAGACACTGATGAGCAATGGGTACCCTCAAAGGTTCATCAACAAGTATGGAAGATCTGAAGTCACAAATGGAAAACAAATCACAGTGAGAAAAAAGCCAATCTACTTTGAGCTTGATTATAAAGGTGAAAACATTGCAGCGATGATCAACAAAAGGCTGAGCACATCACTAGCCATAGCCTATCCTGCAGCTAAGCTCGTTCCCGTCTATCGAACAACTTGCTCTTTGATGCAATCAAAAATCGATAGATATCCTTCTCATGTTAACTCCAACTGTATATACAAATTTACATGTATCTGCGGGAGCAGTTACATTGGAAGAACAGAAAGAAGGGCATATCTACGATTTTCTGAACATGTACCAAAAAGCTTACGTCTAAAGGGAACAAATGCTTTAAACAGTGCCATCGCCAGGCATCTCCTCGACACGGGTCATGAGGTGGACGTCGAAAAGTCGTTCAAAATTATCAATAAGCAAAAGAGCTCAATTCTCCTTAAGTTTGCTGAAGCCATTTCCATCAAGCGCCTGAAACCTGACTTTTATGCGTTCAGAAAGAAGCAGTTATCAGTCTTTCTTTGCCAACCTGGTAACTGGATATTTTTCATCCGAATGCGAGATGCTGAAAAGTTTTCATTGTGTATGGTTATTATTGTTGTTCGGAATAGTGTTTAATATTGCATATATATATGTATATATTATGAGTGTATGCGTATACTGATCGATTGATTTTCGTTTAAAATGAACTCTGTGCAAGTATGTTAAAATTGTTTTTGTAGATACATTTAATAATGTCTTTGCCCTGTAAGCAGCTGACGAGAAGGCAACGAAATAAATGATGGTACCATTTTATTCTGTTAAAACTGTAGTTCTTGCTTTGTTCAAATATTTTTGTTCCCTTGGATTCTGAGTGGAATATAGGGCTTCAACAGTACTTCTCAACTTTTTCCTATCCTCTGTGGTCCTCTTCAGCTGGCCTCACGATTGTCCATAGTTTCTCATCTCTTCCTCCACACGATTTCCTTCATGTCCCCCTCGGACGCCCCCCCCCACTCGTCATTTCCCATTTTGGTTCTATTCATATCGCTCATTAGGATTTTGATATCACCATTTGGGATGTTGTCCATTACTGTTTGCAGTTGTCTATAGAAATCTTCCTTCTTCTCTTCTTTTTTCTGAGTTGTTTGCAGGCGTGTAGCATTGAACAATTGTAATCTTCCTACCCTTTGAGTTAAATATTGCTGTCATGATCCTGGATGAAATCGGTTCCCACTGTATAAGAGATTTGACTGCTAATTGTGATATCACGATGGCCACTCCCTCAGTGTTCTCGTGGTTACCGTCTGGGTGACCGGAGTAGATTGCTGACACTCCACATGACAATGCCGATAGTCTACATATATCCCACCTGCTCTCGCAGATTTCTAGCTGTTCCATGGCGTATTTTCTCATTTCTTTGGCTAACTGGGTCCAAACTAGGAGGAAACAACTGTCCAGTGCTTATCTCTAAATGATTTCAGGTACATCCAGATGATAAGCCCCAAGTGGGACGAAACGTTCATTCTGGATTCCACTGCTAGTCACCATATACCAAATTACATTATGGCAAAATCTTTCTGGAAAATACAGCGGACTATGACGCGTGTATAAAGGGAAGTCTTCCACTTCATTGCCTACTGAAGCTGGTGTCCCTCAAGGCGCTGTCCTTTCTCCTTTTCTTTTTTCTTTCTTCTTACATGACTTGCCTCAGTCTGATGAAATAAATTTTGTGCAGTACGCTGGTGATTTAACTGTTTCAATGGCTGTTAACTCCCAGCTAGATTGTACCAAAATAAATAGCTTTCTGTCGGGAGTCAGTAAATGGTCTGAGTCTAATGGTCTTAAACTGAATCCTTCTAAATGTCAAACTGTTAATTTCAGCTTAGATGTAAACGACAGTTAAAAGAAGCCGTCGATTCTCATGACAGTTGTAAGATTGATGACAATGATATAGGAATTAAATCAGAAATTAAGTATCTTGGACTTATTCTCTCTTCTGATCTCTCCTGGTCTTCCCATGTCTCAGCGATCTCCAGTAAAATATTCCGCCTGACATTTTACATTAAGAAGTTAAGGCACTAGGATATAACTCAACCCCTCCCTCCTCTCACAATTCATAAACTCTTGCATCCTACCTATTCTTCTTTATTGTTCACCTTTGCTTATTTTTTCCTGGTTTGCTTAAAAAGGACTATGTCACAATTCGTAGAATGCTGAAGACTGTCAGTAGGATGAGTGGTGTCGTTGTCGATAGGTACTTAACCTCGTGCAATAAATTTGCTAGAGGGATTTTGTCTGACTTGGAGCATCCACTTCACCCTCAGCTTTCACCTTGCATCTCCTCAGGTAGAACAAGAAGTAACTTCAGAAAACTGTATGCTCGCACATCTAAGTATAAAAATTCTATGATACCATACTTGGTACGTATTTTATGTGATGAAAATAGCGTCAGGCAAGAATTGACTAACCTTTTTTCATCTAGTAAATAAACAATCTCCTCCATCCATCTTTATATACCTTCAAGTTTTGCTTTTATTATTTCTATTATATTTATGGTCCTGTTGATTCTTTGTTTTTACTTTCATAACTGCAAGCACCAACTTATCTCTATGACTGCTGTAATCTTTGTTTTTTTCCCTCACCATATCATGTAAAGAGAACATCATATTCAATATTTTTAATCATGCAAGGATTTGTATACCGCATCGACAATACTGTGTGAAACAAGCCCACGGCAATTTCCACTTGTATTATTATTATTATTACCTTAGCTGTTATCATTATTATTATTATTTCCATTTTATATGCTGCATGTTTTTTTGACATTACCCCTATTGTAAATGTTGAAAAATTTTCTGTGTGACTAATTTTTATTTATAATTTGAGGAAATTAGATGCAATATTGTGATTAATGCTGAAAATTCCATTGTGTATCACAAGTACTGTTTTTGGAATAAAGTAAATCATTATTATTATAAGAAGTTTGACATTCATAGCCTAGACTAACTTCAGGAGTGATGAAATTCTTTCTTTCTTTTCATTATCTTGAAGGGAATCAAGACGTTTGCATGATCTCCTATGTGAATTAAATGTTCAGTTACTTTGTTTTTCTTTGTGTGGATGTTTATTGGGCAATAGGTTGTTGGTTGCTTCCCTGAGGGAACCCTTTATTGCTCATCCTTCCTAGTCTGTCATCTGATATTTTGTATGCAGCCAGATAAGGCAGCTATTGATGAAAGCCTGCAGTAACCTGTTGGAAATGCTTTCGGCAAGACACTAAGTGTCTGAACCATCCATATAGAATCACTGATTTGACACTAGTATCATGCCTTTCTGATCCTGACTAGCTTCTACATCCTCATCCCTGCCGCCTGTAGATGAAATGTTTCTGTCTAGATAAGTGAAACTGGTGACTTCATTCGAATCCCCCCTATTGGTTAGCCATCATCATCACCACTGCTTTTAATTGATTCTAATTTCCCATGTTCACAAATACAGACTAAACAAAAAATACTGGAATACACACGCGTATTGTAGTTGCCACCTATTTGAAATCTACTGGTCCATATGTTTTTGTAATAAAATAAAAACCACCATAACGCCACTAAATAAGTTTCTTTTCTTCCTTTTTCAGAAAGAAACGCTGACGTGGCTTCACTGGAACAGGAGGAAGATCGTTTGGCCAGACTTGTTATAAAGGACGATAATTAGCTTGTACCCGCTTAATTCAATCCTGCCGTGGTTGAAATAAAGATCTCCCTCTCGTCTCTTCGTCTTCTTCCTTTTCCGTTGGTTGTGGTTGTTGCTTGCGTGTAACAATTGGTGTCGGAGGTGTTTTATCTACACTAACATGGCAAATCGACCAGAGGATCAGCCTCCCAAATTGTTTCCTCAGGATAGTGCTCCATCATTGCCTAGTGTACCACCGCTCTCCTGCCCACCATTGCTGCAACCATCATCAGATTACCCTCGCTGGAAGAGACGAATGCAGGCGTTCCTGGACGTTTGCCCAGCAGCCCACCATTTCGTCCACGTCTGCAACAACCTATCAGACGATGCATTCGCCCGTGCAGACGCTGCTGGGTTCAGTAAAACCAACTCCATGCAAAAGAACTGGGAGATCCTAGATCAATGTTTTGACCTGAGGCTGGGTTCTCAACATACCCTATTACAACTGCTCTCCCGCCGACAACTACCAGGAGAGAGTTTCCTGGAATATCTTAACGCTCTCCAGCTACTGGCAGCTGGACTTGACAATCACGATAGCCCTGGCGGCACAGATCAATTGGTATGCACCCGTTTCGTCGAGGGAATGTTGCCTGGTGACCTGCGCACAAACCTCCGACGTCAGCTCCCAGCCAACACGTCCCACTTACAGAAGATTATTCTCCGTTTCACGGACGCCGAGAATGACCACGTGCCGACACCCAGTACCTCTATGTGCCCAGTATCAACAAAACCCAATGCACCCCCCGTTCGCCGCAACCGTTCACGAAGCCAACAACGCTCAAATGGGGACGCTACCCGTCGCTGCTACTACTGTCAACGCTTCGGGAAGAAGGCCCGTAAGTGTGGCCACAATCGCCAGCCGGACCGCAGTAAGTCCCCTGTTTTTAATTTGTCTACATACTCTTGTAACGGGCAACCTTTGATGCTATGGGGACATATTAATGGAGTGCCCTCTAAAGTCCTTTTAGATACTGGCGCGTCAGTCTCTCTAGTAAAGGCTTCCTTCCTTCGACGCTTGCCCCAGTACTCAGCCCCAGTAACCACTCACACCATCTTGACGACAGCTAACGGTGCCAAACTGGAGGCCCGATCGGCTACCGATCTACAGCTGCGTCTTGGAGACCTAGATGTGCGCCATCAGTTTCTTATCTGCGCCCAGATTACATGGGACCTCATCCTAGGAGTAGACTTCTTGAGGTCACACCACACTCTTATAGATATCACCAATTCTCGAGTCACAATTGATTATGTCACTATACCCGTATATAGCCCTCAGCAACCGCGGTCTGCTGCGTCAAAGTTGTCAGTGTCTACGATCATAAATCAAGTTTCAGTTGACCCATCTGCTCCTGTCCCCCTCCGAGGGCAAATGCTGAAATTGATTGATGAATACGCTGATGTGTTCGATGATGGGGGTAATCCAGGACGCACTGGTGTTGTTCAGCACCGTATCAATACAGGCAGTCATCCGCCTGTGCGTCAACCACCCCGACGCATCCCCGTACATTACCAGCCCCAACTGGACGCCCTGATACGAGATATGTTGGATAAAAAGATCATCGTACCATCATCCTCCCCATGGGCGTCACCCATCGTTTTAGTCAAGAAGAAGGACGGCTCCCTCCGAATGTGTATTGATTACCGTAAACTGAATGCTGTAACCAGACGGGACGCTTTTCCGATTCCCCGTATCGATGCAACCCTTGACGCACTTGCTGGCTCACAGTGGTTCTCCACGTTAGATCTGGCGTCAGGCTACTGGCAGGTAGAGGTGCACCCTGACGATTGCCCGAAGACGGCCTTTATCCTCCCGAGCGGTCTCTACGAATTCCGAACAATGCCCTTCGGACTATGCAATGCCCCGGCCACCTTTCAACGCTTGATGCAAATAGTCCTTGACAGGTTAGTCCCGCAAAAATGTCTCATCTATCTTGACGACATTATTGTACATGGGAAGTCCCCAGAGGAGCACATGGATAACCTACGGGTTGTTCTTACAAGGTTTAGAACGAATGGGTTAAAGTTGAAGCCGGCTAAATGTTCATTCTTACAGAGGGCAGTCACATTTTTGGGGCATCGAATTTCACCAGATGGTATTCAAACAGATCCAGAGAAAACGCGCCTCATCTCAGAATGGCCTACACCCCAGTCGTGTAAAGACGTTCGTAGCTTCCTAGGGTTGGCTTCGTACTACCGACGTTTCGTGCCTGGGTTTGCCACCCTAGCCTCGCCCCTGCATCGCCTGACAGAAAAGGGCCGTAAATTCCTGTGGACCAATGAATGCCAACATGCGTTCGACAAGCTAAAGACGAACTTGACATCAACCCCCATCCTTGCGTTCCCAGACACGTCTCCGTCATCTGGTTCATTTATTCTGGACACGGACGCAAGCGCTAACGCTATAGGGGCTGTCCTTTCCCAAGTGGCAACCGATGGTCGAGAACGCGTTATTGCATATGCCAGTCGCAAGCTAGACAAAAGGGAAACACGGTACTCGACAACCCGAAGGGAGATGCTTGCCCTTGTGTATTTCCTGAGACACTTTAGACACTATCTACTTGGGCGCCCCTTTCGAGTACGCACTGACCATCGTGCACTACAATGGCTGCAAACATTTCATGAACCTGAAGGTCAGGTGGCTCGATGGCAAGAGCGGTTACAGGAGTTCGAGTTTACTTGTGAGTATCGTCCGGGGCCTCGGCATGCTAACGCTGATGCCCTCTCCCGATTGCCGAGGTACGACTCAGTGAATGCTCTACTTAATACGGGTATCGATGTAGATTGGGCTGCACTGCAGGCGGCTGATGCAGATATTCAACCTGTTTACTCGCGACAGCTCCATGGGAACGATAAACCATCGAATAAGGAACTACGGAGTCTGTCAGATACAACACGATGCATCTGTGGCAAGTGGGGCGTGTTACGACTAATCGACGATGTTTTGTATATAGTGGAACCATCCTCGTCACCCCGTCTCCTTGTTCCCCGGTTGAAAGTTCCGGAGGTGATTCACCTTGTGCACTACCAGCTGGGTCACGCTGGCCAACAAAAAACCGAACACGCCGTCCGTCAACGTTTTTGGTGGCCACTTCTTCATCACGACGTTACTGAATTCTGCCGCAACTGTGCTACATGTGCGCAAATCAAACAGCCCAAACTACCTTCCCGAGCACCGTTAGTACCTATGCTTACGGAATCTTTCAACCACCGAGTTGGGGTAGATGTCATGGGGCCAATAACAACGTCGAGACGTGGTAATCGATACATACTCGTCATGGTCGACTACTTCACGAAGTGGTGCGAAGCTGTCCCCCTGCAACAACAAGATGCCTTGACGATTGGTCGCGCGTTCATAGACAACTGGGTGTCCCGCTTTGGTGCCCCTCTTTATCTACACTCTGACCAGGGCGCCGCATTCGAGGGTCATCTTATCGCTCACATCTGCAATACTTTTGGCATCCGGAAGACTCGTACTACATCATACCACCCACAGGGTAATGGACTCGTCGAACGCACCAACCGAACTATTAAGAATCTTCTCCGTGCCTTTTTGCACAATACACCGGAGAACACCTGGGACGATGTCCTACCTCAGTGTCTACTAGCGTATCGCTCCTCCATCCATTCATCCACGGGATTTTCCCCAGCTTTGCTTCTGTTTGGACATGAACTCCGTCTCCCAGTTGAGATTCAAACGCCGCTGCTACCGTATGAGAAAATCGACTGCATCCCCTATGTTCGACATCTTCGCCACCACCTGGGGATAGCCTACAACCTGGCACGTCGTCATCTCCAGTCTTCGTCAGAACATCAGAAGAGTATTTATGACCGCTTCGCCCGCGGCCCCACCTATTCGCCTGGTGACTATGTCTGGCTTCATCGCCCATCGGTACCTGCCGGTTCGTGTCCTAAATTCTACGCCCCGTGGCAAGGACCTTATGAGATCGTACAGCACCGACCTCCCACAACGTATGTCCTGCGGAATTTGCAACGTCCTCAAGATAACCTTATATCCGCACACTATAACCAGCTGAAACCACATCACCCAGCAGCCGCCCAGAAGCCGTCGCCATCCCCGCAACCACCGCCCGCTACTAGCTTCGTCGAGGTACCAACAGATGGAGGCAGTGCATATCCTATACCACCGCCAGGCACTGAGGACAGTGCCTCCAGAAGGGGGGAGGCGATGTAATAAAATAAAAACCACCATAACGCCACTAAATAAGTTTCTTTTCTTCCTTTTTCAGAAAGAAACGCTGACGTGGCTTCACTGGAACAGGAGGAAGATCGTTTGGCCAGACTTGTTATAAAGGACGATAATTAGCTTGTACCCGCTTAATTCAATCCTGCCGTGGTTGAAATAAAGATCTTCCTCTCGTCTCTTCGTCTTCTTCCTTTTCCGTTGGTTGTGGTTGTTGCTTGCGTGTAACATTTTGACGACAGCGTTGCTAAGGCAATCAGAGAGGCATCAAGGTTATGCATAGTATTAACCAATGAAAACCATCTACCCATTAAGCTGTTTTAGAATATGATTGGTTGGGAGAGCAGGTGACCTTGCTTTTTGAATTTCTGTCTGTATTTTCTGCATAGAAATAGGTAAGCGTAGCAAAATGGTACACTAAAATTTCAGACATCCAATAATTCCATTTAAGCGTCATCAGCAATAACAATAATAAAAAGAGGGTGAATTAAATGTCCTACATTTAAATGACCATAACTTTTGGACAATAGAAGAAATTGTGAATCAATAATTAAACTCTGGGAATGAATTCTAATGAAAATGAAAATAACAATAGACTAGTAGGTATAAAATAAATTTCAGTGTAAATTGTGTTATGTGTGATTAAGGCTGATGTGAAAGTGGTGGATGGCTTTAGGATTTGGACTGACTTGTACTACCTATCCGGTGTTCTACAATTTGAGCTATTGAACCTACCTGTTAACCAAAAGCAAATGCTGCTGAGGCATAAATTTTCACGCCATCTTCAGTCATGTCGAATGTGACACGATGGAAAACTTAGCGAAGCGTTTGAGAATTGAAGACATGAGTAAGACAAGGCTACCTATTTGCAATTAATAGTGTTCTCTGAGCTGGTTGGTTTAGTTGCGAAGCTTTCGTCGTCCTTCTGGACAACATCCCCTTTCAGCGCAGTATTTAGCACAAAGTGAAATGATTTAAATTTCTTCATGAGTGATATAATTGCGTCCGTCTCCCGGTAACCATCTTTACATATGTATTGACCATTTTCTATTGACTTGGATTTTAAACTTCCTGGTCACCTGATTTACTTTTTATTTATTTAGTTGGTATATTTCGTCTATATTAACGTGCTTGTTAATTGCATTTTCGTTTGAGTACCAGGCTTCTAGGAATTAATTCCCCGACTGCACTCTTGGTGTTTCCTCTGTCTAAGATTTTGACAGTATCCCAATCAAATTGATGACCATAATTGTCTATATGCATTGATACTAAAGAATATATATCGTGTCTTTTTCATCACGGCTGATTTGTGTTCTTGGATTCTAATTCGAAGGGTACGCCTACTTTGGCCAGTGTAATTCTTGTTACAGTTCATACAATTTATTTTGTAAATGGTATTGAAAGAGTTCAAACAGATTGTAGCACTCCAGAGTTGAAAAGAATGGAAGAAAAGTACCTACAAACGGTCTTCAAAAAGAATCGTTATCCACAAAATTTCATCAAAAAGTGTTTAAAGTCGAATCAAAACACCAACAAAGAACCATCATCAAAGACCACAAGAAAATTCATCCTACCATACATGAGAAACATCTCTGAAATAACAGCTAGAATACTGAAACCGTTTGATATAGATATAACACACAAGCCAGTCAAATCGCTTAATTCGATATTATACAAACGGAAAGATCCAACAGAAAAAGGGGATAAAATGAATTGTATGAACTGCAACAAGAATTACATCGGCCAAAGTGGGCGTCCCCTTCGAATCAGAATCCAAGAACACAAATCAGCCGTGAAAAGACACGATATGTATTCTTTAGTATCAATGCATATAGACAATTATGGTCATCAATTTCACTGGGATAATGTCAAAATCTTAGACAGAGGAAACACCAAAAGTGCAGTCAGGGAATTTATTCCTAGAAGCCTGGTACTCAAACGAAAATGCAATTAACAAGCACGTTAATATAGACGAAATATACCAACTAAATAAATAAAAAGTAAATCAGGTGACCAGAAAGTTTAAAATCCAAGTCAATAGAAAATGGTCAATACATATGTAAAGATGGTTCTCGGGAGACGGACGCAATTATATCACTCATGAAGAAATTTAAATCATTTCACTTTGTGCTTAATATGGCGCTGAAAGGGGATGTTGTCCAGAAGGACGACGAAAGCTTCGCAACTAAACCAACCAGCTCAGAGAACACTTTTAATTGCAAATCATCCACCTGAGCTACAAATCTTCTCTATTATTTCAAAGGCTACTTATTATCCCCGGTGATATTCTTAATTGTGGTGGACTGGGTCATGCAACATACTGTGGTAAGAGAGAAGATAGGAATATATTGAACCGATAAGAAAACTGAAGAAGATTTGAACGATTTATTTTTATTGTCACACAAACTCGAAGATATTCAGGCGAAAACCAACAAGTTGGCAGAAGAGGTAGACAGTGGAGACAGGATTTCAAGTGAACACAAAGAAGACAGGCGTGATGAGGATAACCAGCCTACAACAACAGGCACTAATTGCTATCAACAGGAGAAATCTAAAAGAAGTCAATTCTTCCAGTCATATAGATAACATCGTTTCAACTACAAGGGAAGGAGGAGGAGGCAAAGATTAGGATATCAAAACAGTCAGGATAGGAAAGGCCAGGTAGACCTACATTGGTCTGAAATCATTTTGGAAATATAATGCACTCAGAAAAAGGAACAAGATTCGAATTTTTCAACATCATAAATCCTTAAAAAGACTTGAATTTCCAACACTAATGTGGAGTCAGTGAGTGATTGTATTTGGTTCACAAACTTGGTGTGCAAGTGACTGAAAGCGTTTCCGACAGGCTGCAAACTTTTATCAACGACCATCTTCGCCGGCTTCATACTGAAGGTCAGATGGTCAGAAGTGGTCAGTAACAAGGGACCGTGGTAGGCTGCGAACCAGAGGAGAACAGGTCAACCAACAAATATGCTGACGGAAATGGGATGATGGTGAGGCGACCATTGAATTACATAACGCGCCAGGTCCTTGACTGGAAACGAATGTTAAGCGGAGATTTGGACTTGGATCTGAGGGTGATACGGACGACAGCGTGTGAAGAGGAGATGAGAACTTATGGACGACTGAGGAGTCAGCTTAAGTGGATTTCTGAGAGCAGGATGAAATGGCAATGGGCTGTTGAAGCCCCATATTCCACTCGGAACTGAAGGGAATAATAATAATAATTTTCAAGCATTTTGATGGTGTGAACAATATTACGAAATTACATTTAGTCTGCTATGCTTGACAAACTGAATTTGCACACATACATAACGAACAAATTAATGGTACTAACTAGCTACTTTCAATTCAGTGCAACTGGTAATAAGCCCCACATATTGTGATGACAGGCCTACTGATACTGCCACCGGATTGATCAATTCGAGGTAGGTGGAAACGGGTTCCAACATTTGATCCAATAGTTGAAAGTTGAGCAGCTTGACCAATGAGCCACAACTCCATCACAGATAACTGTACACAACTGCGACTGCACAGTTAACAGAATTTACCTCTAAATGAAACAGCAATCATAAAAAAACTGAAGTTAACAGAACAATAATATGAGTAACAACAATGTTGGTTGAAATTTACTATTTATTTGCAAATTATTAAGTAGGTTTATCAGCACTTCTCTGATATTCGTCCCTTCACACAAAACCCCCGATAAATATGGTCTCGTGGAATTTTTATACTTTGCTGTACGAGTGCGAATCCTCATGAAATTTCTTCTGGTTTCACCTGAACAGATACATGAAGGAAGAGGCGAGACAAAGAGGATGCTCAGTCAACTGCTTGCAAGAATTAAAATGCCTTTGAACGACAATGTCGGTTAGTTGAGTGAAATGACTCACCAGTAACCGTGTTTAAAGCCTTCAGTTTTCTGTGTGGTATGAGATAGCCTTTGTTGAGAAGCCGAGGGAAGAATGAGTGGGGAATGATAAGGGGAGAAATGGGTAGAATACGTGGATTAGTGAATTGTAAGAGTAGTGGTCTAGCGTTCGATTACTTACTGACGCACTCCTTTACCTCGCTTAGCCGACAGTAATCCTGGTAAAGATGTGAGATTGGGCGTGAGTCTAGCAACTGCGTACTGTGAGGAAACACCACTGTTACCTAAACTCCAAAGGTCTAGCTTGAAGCCCTATGTTCCACTGGGAACTCGAATGAGTAACAAATAGAGGAGAGGTTGAGTTGTGGCAGAAAGTTTGAACTTTCTTATGTGATATTTCAAAGAAAAGAAATCAAGAAGATATGAGACGACCAACAAAGATTTGAAGAGAAATTGATGCTGAGATAGGTAATATAGCATTGATCGACTTCCTGCCGCATGTGTCTGAAACAATCAGTTCACACAAGACTTGTTCACGCCTGAATCTACAATTAACAGTTTGACACATTTACAGGGATAAGATCATTCAGTAGGTCGGTAACCCTCTCATATATGAAACTTTTCATAGCAGAATAAAAATCGAATGCAGAAACAACTGCGACAGAAATTCTTAGATCATTAGCGATATATAATGAAATTTGTTTTAATAGAGTACTGTAAGTCACGTAAAGAGAAATGAAGAAAGTACAGCATCTCTTCGCTGAACTTGTTTGTTCTTATTCAAGAAAGCTAAGTGTTTTAAATTGTATCGCAATATATTCTGTAATAATAATAATAATAATAATAATAGCTTAGACAAGGGGGCTGAATTTGTTCGCTGCACTTTCCTAGATTACACATCTGCTTTCGACTCAGTACCTAGGGACATTTTTTTAAACAAGCTTGCTGAAACTCAAACTGACTGCTGGGTTGTCAAATGGCTGCATTCTCATTTCTCAGGAAGAAAGCAGTACACTGTATGTCAGAGAAAGTCGTCCACTTCACTGCTTACTGCGGCTGGTGTCCCTCAAGGCGCTGTCCTTTCTCATTTTCTGTTTTCTTTCTTCTTGCATGACTTGCCTCACTCTGATGAAATGAACTTTGTTAAGTATGCCGATGATCTAACTATTTCAATGTCTGTTAACTCTCAGCTTGACTGCACTAAGATAAACAGCTTTCTATCAGGAATTAGCAAATGGTCTTCGTCTAACGGCCTTAAACTTAATCCTTCCAAATGTCAGACTGTTAATTTCAGTTTCCGATGTAAACGAAAGTTAAATGAAGCTGC